ATGCGCTGAATATTATAGTTCAACAGCCATTATAGTGTAACGATGAAATTTTATTTTATGTATTTTTGCAACGGTAGATTCTCACTACATAAGCAGTAGAGCAGATACCTTGCATTTTGAAAATCTACCCTCTTTACACAAAATGAGACAATTAGCGTGGGATTCTATGATTGTACCGTCAATTGGAATCAGAGACAAGAGCGAGGGACAAAATTTATAATACTGGAATGCTCTGCATGTGGGTTTTATGTGTACTTTTCACATCGTGAGAAAACGTCACTTCAAGTGACAAAAACTTTAAATTCTGCTCATACGCTTTTGTAATTCGAGAATCGTATTATAATAAAGATGATGGGATGACACACTGGGAGTGAATAGCAAAGGTGAGGTGAGGAATTAGGTACAAGGGGTGAAGTGAATAAGCTGATGACGGGTGATGCTACGTACATGAAGACCATTTTCTCCTGACTAATTGCTAAATTTATCATAATGTGAGATTTTTAGAGCTATAATTGTACTTGTAAAGCAGTAACGAAATAAAAGTTGGGACAAGATTCAAATGTTAAACATTCACTTTGTATAGAATGATGAAATATCAAGGCGTTAAGCCCAGCAAATCCTACCATATCGCACCATCGCCACAGCTTGAAAAGCAAAAAAGACAATTCAGGCAACAGAATCTACAATTTCTTGCCTATTACACACATCTCCAGATTGCTGACATATCACTGTGATGATGATTAGTAACAAGATATCAATAACTGCTCATCATGAGAGTTCCGCCGACTCTCAATATCAATGAGTAAGCGCAAATATTTTTATTTCCGACAAATCCTGTTTGAACTTGAGAGATTTCCTTTCTCCTTTATTTGCACTCACACGCCACAAACTCCAACTAATTCAACATCAAACCTCGCAAGCAAACATGAAAAATGGCTTTTAATGATATATACACTTTTCATCCATTAATGCCTCAGGATTGTATTACATCCATGATGATCATCAAGTCTACAAATGAACATGATATTAACTGACTCATCCTTTTCATCAGTTTACCGATTTTAGTCAACAGAATCCTATCACATCAAACACACACACATCACATCTCATCACCACAAGCTCGCTTAACCAAACCAAACTAAGCAAAGAAAGGCAAAAGTGTGTTGAGTTAGTGAGACTGGAGAGAATTAGGAACGAGCGATGAAAAAAGTAGAGATAAATAGTTTAGTTTAATGGGAGGATATATCACTGTCATATCATTTCGTGCACTTGCCACAGAATGTTGGCCATATCCTTTATTCGTCAAAAATTAGCTCGAGCTATACATATAATCTCCCATTATGTACCAATAGATTTGGAATGGAATTTGTCCATCAAATTCATTGGTGCGGTATGCATGCGCATAATGTTCCCTAAAAACACTCGCCAATTACGTAATTAAGCCAGGACTCGTTTTCATGATCCTCAAATCGACACATCATTTCGTAATTTAATTGTAGTTTGAAATATAAAACTCAACGTAATCCTAATTTCAATTAACTAGTAATGAGATTTTCCTAATGATTACATTTTGGACTACCGAGAAATGCTTATTGAATGTCTCTATTTGTTGTGTAGGGTGAAAAGTGTTGTAAAATCATCTGCCCACTACTATTAACCACTGCTGCTCGCTAGTCAACTTGGTTGGGCGAGAGAAAATCAAATCTTAATCAATTTGGTCCGAACGAACCATAAAACTTGGACGAAAATGACCCACGCTGATGGCGAAAGTCTCACGGTTGGTCATAATACGCTATACTCGTGAAGGACACATGCGTTGTTCTAACCAATGAGATCAAGTTTATAGGTATGGAAAACTTTACACCGTATAATGATAGGGGATTTAATGTCTCTCCTTGTTTAAACTGAGGAACAGGAACAGTCGTCATATTCGCAGAGGCAGACTGCACGGCATACAAGCGTGTGTATTTATATGCAATAGAGTCCCAACAAATACATTGCAAAAAGCTTTGTTTGCACAAATGTTAATTGTAAATGTTATCAAATGCTTATCATCATTTCCATTTCCATTTTTAATATTTGCTATTTAAACTACTTTTTAAATAATTGTACACAGTAAAATTGCGATCTATCATTATCGTTGCATAAAGTGATATCACTGCAATCAAAGCACAGTTTTTCTACATTGAACATAATTATTTTGTCGTGGTGAACAAATTAGCCGGATATTCCCAGAACAACCATGCGGCACACACCAACGGGTTTGAACACAATTGAGCATAATCTTCATCAACTCATAAAATGTACGATATCTTAATCGTCCTAAAATGTCCACCATCCCACCCCATCCGCCCAACAATCAAAGATCAACTCTGCACAAGTACATACGCACCATGTTCCAAATAACATACTTATTATTACACGACGTAATAAGCTTTCGTGTTAAATAGTAAAACGACACTTCCTTTCATCTACATACGCTCGATATTCGATAAAGATATCACATGACTCTCATAAATATAATTCCGTTCAATCATCAAATGAAATCTGCCCAATTAACTCGTCAATAATAATACCACACTCAGGATCCCCTTCAACAAACTTGGGTAACGCCCTAACATCGATATTATGTATTTACTCCCATCTCTCTCGTACAAATGTTTCAGCAGTCGACCAAATAAAAGGTCTCCACTTTTAATTGCCAGATAGGGAAATGATTACTGGTACTGATATTTTGCTCATTTAGGCCTTTTAAAATAATGATGTCATTTTCATAACTGCGAATACATACATAAATTGATCCTCGTAATTAAATACGAGAACGTCAATTCAATACTTGCGGGTTATACCACAGGTACTTTTAGTGTTCGCTCAGAACGCTTTTCAAAAAATAATGCCATTTAAGAAATAAGTATTTTTATGTAAGAATTTCAATGGATGACAATGCAACAAGGTTACGCTACAGTAAATAATAGGTGTACATAAGTATGTTGGATCATTTTTCATGTAATCACTTGCTCAAAACAAGAACATGGACGAGGGAGACAGAGAGCACTGAAATTAATGCTTACGTATGTACATTCATACGACCAATCACGTCGCCGTATTTTTCTTGGGCTAAAAAATAAGCGAGAGCAATGTGGATCAGCCAGTCAGCGAGCAACACGAGAACTTTCTCTCAATTACGGTAGATATTAAAGTGAGTGAAAGGAAATGAAAAGCGTAAGGTATAAATTCCTTCCTGTTTAAAGAAAGCACGAAGGTTTGAAAAATGGTGGAGAGTTGGGTGCATGTAATTTGATTTTCAGTTTGGGAAATGCGTCCAGGTCACGCCACGCCAATCCCATCCACCAACAACACACACACAAGTTGTTACGTTTTATAGTTTGCTCGCGTTCCTCCTTGTTACCAGTTATTGCAAATGTCTACACATTTATTTTCTCTTGGGTTTCGGAAATATCTGGAAATGAAAGAGGAAAGAAGGAGTCGATTCGTTCATCCACAATTTCAGTTGGAAAGTGAGCAAGAAATGATCAGTAGTGGTGGATTGATGATGTGAGAGATGTATGGTGGGAATTGGACGAGGCTTGAGTTGATGAATTGCAAAAACGAAAACTATCTCATTCCTCTGTCTACTGTCTCAGAGATAAATTGAGGGAACCGAGAAGAGAATTTTAATTTCCTCTCTCTTACCATCACATTTCCACCCAGAGACCATCCAGCAAGCACAACTCTTCCAAAACACCCGAGCCATTAACATCCGCTGTATCCGACTACATACTACCAGCCTTTGCTTACTACAGAACTATCCACCCACCCACGATCCTGGTAAAAAAGGAGCCCTTCTCGACTCAACTGTGAGTACAGATAAAGTTGGCTCGAAGTGTACCCTTCACTGTAAGAACTGCAACACATCCTGAATATACACTCTCTGTAAAACCCCTTCTTTTCCTCTCCGAAATTCCAATCTCATCAAGCATCCGATGCGATCACGCCGAGGAATAATATGCGGCGGCTCCCTTCCATTTCTGTCTCATCCACAGCACATTTCGGAATTTGGGACTTGAAGGCAGAACCTACGTACGTCACCAACCGGATATCCCTATTGCATTGGCATCAGCCAGACACCATCCCATCACTTCAAACAACCATCTGCCGTGAATACCAACTACATATTTAATATTAAGACCAACATTATATGTAAGTAAACACATATGCACTTGTGCAAGTATGTGGCCAGGTCTTGCTACTCGTCTCGCATCACTTATTCCAAAACTGTAAATTAATGTTTCTATATTTTTCCATAAAATATGTATGATTTTGTACCTTTCACTTCTTGAGATTGTCTCAGATTATTAAAAACGACATAAATAAATGTATGTAGGTACGTAGGTTATAATAATTTTAAGCACATTTGGATATGCATATGTTTGGAACGGTTGTGTTATCTGCTCCAGAATCGTACATAACATTTTTCACTGTTAGTGCAGTTACTTTCACTAATCACAAGAATATCTAAGCTACAACATGCTACTACTGCTTGTTTTTTAACAAGTCCAAATAAATAATCTATTCAGCCTAATGGTTGAAATTAAGCTTAACTCGACTTGAAATCAGCGATCAACACAACTTACGATTATTATAATACATTTATTTTCTTGACTCCCGTGACTGAGCGGAAGTGTGCGTCAGCATCAGTTTAAAATTCTTAGATTTCTCGCAGATGGAAATATAATATTCATGAACGTGTGAGTGTGTTGTGCATTTAATAAGCAGCTCGTGGCGTGTATCATGCTTTGATCAAATTAACTTGTGACTTGTTTTGTGTGACTCGACTACTATTTACTACCCTACAAAATCACATCTGCAATTCATTCCACACATATTCAAATCTACCAAGTCAACCCCAGATAATAGGGTTAGGACCTTCATATAATAATTTTTCTTTGTAATTAGACTGGCATTCATCAACAGCAGAAACGAGAAAGTGGAAAATTTACCTGTGTAAACTGCTCAGCAAAACTCTGAAAATAAATCAATATCATCAAATTTCGGTTGTTGTTGATGACGGGTGGAGTATGTATTTGTACATCGAACATGGGATTTGTGCAAGGAAAACTGTTTTTGCTCGCGAACGGGGTACAACGTGTAGAACATTCAATCCCAAAGAAATGCTTTTTGTAATCATTTCATCCAGCCCAAAATTGCTTTTTCTTTCGGTAGTGGCTAATTTGTCGACGGTACTCACTTACACTAACTTTTATGCATTTGGCTACTTATTTCTGCACTTCCTACCCATTGAAGAGCACTAACTTTGCACTCGGTATGCATCATTGCGAATTAACCATATACAAATCCCCAGGGTGCACCTGCACTGTCAGGGTGCATTGTATGCACCCCGACAAATCCCGCATTCGATGCATTGATTGAAGAACAAATCAAATTTACGAACCCAAGTTTGCTGGCTAGACGTCGATGAAGTAGAAGAGTCAGAGCCTCCAAGAGTTTGATTTGAGGTGTGGGCTTCATCTGTGAATCGAAGGGGCGGCGATCGGTCCTGTGAAAACAGAAGGTGCTTCATCTAATATTGTGAAATGAACAGTCAATTGATATTGCGTCCATCTTTATATTTTAAGCGAATGGCTCATGATCTTAATGCCATGTGATCGCATGTATGAGTTGATGCATACAGTGTGTACATTCTTATGTAAAACTAAAATGACCTACTCGGTGTGAGTCCTTGTCCTTTGCAACGGCTGCGGCTGCTGCTGCCAACTGAGATGCCAGCACGTGAGGCGATGGGAAGAAAAATGGTCCCATGGACCGATCTACATCATCGGTGGCCCACGGAACACCCTGCTTTTTTAACAGTTTAATTCAGTCATTAATGAAATTACGCATTCTCGTGATATTCAAGCACCTCAAAGTTCGTTGAGACGAGGGGTTTATGACTCTACACTAGTTTCTGGTTGGCTTACCTGTTTCAATTTTGTGATCATTTCAGGATCAATCATTGCAGGGTTAAATTTAATTTCAGGGGGACGGGGCGAGTTGTTGGAAATCCGGGATCCGTCATCGTCCTCCTCTTCACTCATGTCGTGCTCGTTTTCTGCTCCTGACTAGAAAGTGTAAAAATAAAATTATTAGCGTCATTTAAGTCTAAAGACCTACGCGAGAGATAAGTTATGCATTATTGAGTTTATATGAAATGAAGCAACACTGCAGACTTGACCGAATAGGTTTGCATTGTTGCACCTGCTGGTAAAGGACAAAGGACAACCAAATACAGCAATAGACATCATATTTGCTCCTCTAAAAAGTAGGGGACCGAGGAAAAATTTTGACCATGTCCTTTATTGAATGATTGAGTGATATGATTCAGCTCTGTGGTGATATATGTTAGGAGAGAACATGAAGATTTTGGGCCTTTTAGGCAACCCCCACAACTGGAAGCAATTTATTTACGTGTCTCAAGTCTCAAACATCGAATCGTTTTAGGTTCAAGTTCAAATGCTTGCTTTTCATTCCAGTGAATTGCGCACATGGACACAATAAAGAGCTTCAAATGTGGGAATTGAAACCCAAAATAGCCAGATTACTTTTGTGGAATTGAGGCTTTTTAAGGATAAAGAAGACGATTGAGAGTTAAGTAGAGGCGAAGAAGGAGATGAATAGACGCGTGTCTGGCACATGCTCCACTCTTTCAACTCAGACACAGATGGAACAAGGGTTAATTCACTTGAAGCCTTTTTATCGTTTTTTTCTTAAGACAACCCTTAATTTTTTTACCCTTTCATCTCCTTCCGTGTAATGCCAGACTCCTGTAAACACCCAAATTGCACCTATCGCTCTCTCGCTCAAACAACAACGAGCAAAACGAGGAGTACTTTCCCCAACCACCCATTTTACCATCCAATCAACTTATCAAGAACTTGGGCTTTATTTTTTGCTGATAAAACGACTATTGCTCAAACAACTACATTTTAAAAGCGTAAAACACTAACAGTAGTGATATAGATACACATATATAAATACGTACAAAAGTTTTCACACTATTCCTTCGCTATTCCCATTCGCCTCGTCAATAAAATTCATTGGACGCGGACCATCTTCCTTTATTTGTCGTACAATAACAATAAAGTTGATTTTATGTCATAGAAAAAAGGGTTAGTATTCGAATTCTTGGAATCTTTCTGGACTTGCATCAAAGCTACTGTCGCATGTCATAAACTTCAAATTTGTTCAGGACACGAAGCGTTTTTTACATACGTAGTTTGACCAATCTCATTTTGAGGGATTTATTGTTCAAAGGCTCTAAATTCCTGGTTTGTTATTTAAGAAAGTATCTGGAATTAATATTAATGTAAAACCTACAGTGCAGATTCATGTAGCCCGAGTCAGGGGCAGTACCATCTCCAACTATTTTTGACTTCAGATTACACACTGGCATCTTTGTGCTAAATTTCACGTTCTAATGCATTTCTTACAATTTGGTGCTACTTACCCCCACCGGTTAACCATAGACCACTTTGCCTCATTTATGAACTCGATCTATATTCTCGCCTTATTAACAACTGTGCAAAGTTTGAAATTAACCGATCAAGCCGTTTTGGCTCTATCGCGTCCAGAGCAGATAGACAGACAGACAAACATCATAAATACATAAGCCCTGACTCGGGCTAAAAATCCGAGTCGTATTTTCATTGGAAGTACAGTTTTTGTCAGGTGGATAAAATAAAATGTCGTCATAGACAGCAGACAAGGACAACTTCGACAACTTCCCACTCGCCATAAAAGCCTTATGAGAATATTTATGAGAGTTTCTGAAAAGAAAAACCTAATTTCTCAACCAAAGTATGTACAATATGCACGTGTAACTCTTTAGGCACTTGAGGACAAGACGAAGGCAACAAATTTCAATCATAGATATTCACTATGCCCACCCATAAAAATCAAAGGAAATTTGAGTTGCATTCATCTCTCTTCTTTCCCACTTTTTAAACTTATTATGTTGTTTTATAGAAATTATTATTACAAGACACCCCACGAAGCAGAGAGAGATCAGTCCATTCCCATATGAGACGAGTCATCATCATGACATGCGTGGTGCAAACAGATCTCTTAATTGAAATCAGAAACGTATGGTCATTTTAAATACGTCCAAGTTATTTCCAGTCTCTCTTTCGAACAAGAAGGCAAATGGGGTCATAAACTTGGACGGATCGGTCAAAGCCAAGGAATAAACATTTGTTTGAACACACCGGATGATGAGTCCGCATACGAAAGTAAACATTTGTCCTGTTCATTCCGTTTGTATATGTGCATATGTACATACTTGAGGATTGAGCATTCCAATGGGGACAAAAGAAGACAATTACATTGTGATATGAGAATAATAAAAAAGAAAGAAATCAAAGTAACCATCACGTATAGAATAAAGGTCACCAATATAATGAACAAACAACATATTCGTTCATCGCTCAATTACTATACGTCTCCAGCGCTTTTTTACTATTATGATTGCTGATAGTCGATTGTAAATTCAAGATGTATAAATTCTTGAAAGAGATGTCTAGACCAGACAGACGGTAATACAATTCAGTGCATATTAAATGAATCCGCACTTTAAATGAAGAAGCAAATAACATATTCGACCCTGGAATCATAACTCTTAACCTGTGTGTACATGGAAAAATTCATCCGTGCGTGTTGCAACTTATGTCTACGTTATAAGCGTCAATAACTTATTGGCGTAATGTCTGCTTAGACAAACCCATTCAAGTAAATAAGATTACACATTTTCCATACTGGGACAAAGTAAATCATGGCGACAATTTTGAAAGCGTCTGAATTTAGAGATGGATTCTATTTATTGTCATGATGCGGGTGGCAGGCAGGCATATACGGTGTGCGTTTTTAGTGCACACACATATTTTATTGTTGTCAAATCAGTTCAATTCAATGTGGGTTGGTAAGTAAAAAATGGGATCCAGTAAAACTATATAAAGGACCGAATCTTTTGGTAATAAGCGTTTGTGTATTGAGAAGGGCAACAAAACAACCAAAACGGCAGGATTCGTGTCGCCATAAACCCCTAGGTGTTCCCCTCTTGAGATGATTTCTGACCTGAAATCTTTGATTGTCTTTTTCCATCTCATTGTTATTACGTCTTTAGCTCCTACACTCCAAAAGATATAAAATTATGGGTACTCTCTAACCATTAAGTTTTATGTCACTGCTCAGGTTCATGATCGAATAGGAAGCATACCTTCCAAAAAATATAGATATGGCCCTCCACAAAGATTACGTATATCTCCTCTCATCATCTAACACAATCCCAATCTGATCAATGAAATGCCATTTCTCACATCAAAAAACTTATAGTGCACCAAGTCGCTTGGTGCACCACGTTCCATTGATCTATTGACTTCAACCTGACCTTTCTCTGTTTCCTGCCTGACTACCTGCGAAATCTGTCAATTATATTAGCAGCCGAAATATTTCATTTAAGTAGGTAGATTTATTCTATTACGTCTCAACCTCGTATAGCTGGCAATTGCAGGTTGCCAAACACAATCGTAGTTTCGTTTTACTTTTTTAATAAACAAAAATATCCCAGAAAATCTTTTTAAAAAATCAACAGTTTTTTTATATTTTATCAATTTGACATTACTTTATCAGTGAAATTTTGTGTTGGTTTTTCAGCAATTCTATACTTCAGTAAGATTCCAAATAACATGTACATTTGTATGACTCCTACATACATATAAATTCTCCTCCTCTTATTGTCAAGTTTAATCTAATTATGCACAATTGATTATTCGTCACGCGAAGAAGGGTTTGTCAATGTGGAAGGGGTTTTGTTTTCGTAAGGTGGCGACTACTTTCTCTAAAATTAAACTATAATTTGACAGCGGGATTATTGATGTACGGATGTATTATTGGGGAATCTGTCAATTGAGTGGGAGTGACTGGGAAGCGATACAACGTGACCTGGCCTGCTACTTGAGCATGATTGATGGTTGATCATAGTAGTCGGAGGCAGGCAAGCAGCCGACGAAGAAAAAGGAATGAAGAACTAAAATGGAAAACGGAAGGGAAAATTTTCAATTACATTGCAAAGCAACGCGACGAGAGGAATGGGGTTGCATAGATAGATCTCCATTGAGCATGGGATGAAATGATACATGGACATACCACACATACATCGCATCCAACACTAACGACATATTGGGAATGCCAAATAATACCCTTTGTCTTCTCGCCCAACGTATGAAATTCACAAAAAAGTCATTTTGTTTGCCAAATACAACAAGAGGGAAAAGTGACAAGTAGAAAACTTGACTGGGAACCGGCAATCAAGCCAGAACCTTCAGGAATGAGTGACTGCTGCTTGACTGACAATTCGCACTACAAACCCAACCAAACGACTAGGAACGCGTTCGTCTTACCAATAATAATATAACATTATAAACATCCGACAAACCTCAATTCAAAACAAGAAGCCAACTTTCAAGATGCGGAGATGACAAAAGAGGTTTAGAACTAATATCAAATAATCATTAACTGCCAGCTTCTCTACTAAACTACCTCAGAGAATGAGTATGTATATGAAAATATATATGTCTCCCCCCATCACCAGAAAATAGATTAACTTCCATTTTTGCTTTTTTAAATGAAAAAAAGTCCATTAACAAGACATGTTAGTTATAAAATGATCTAGAATCTCGAACACACATTAATAGACAATATTTGGGATCTTCACTTTACACACCAGTCCAGATACAGCCTGGTTGACGATGGAAAGAATGGTAATGAATCAAATTGAGAGGAAGGAATTTGCTTGAGAGGACGCCAACAAACTCATCAATCTACATCGACGACTCAAAACTCAAAAGTTGATCTTAAATACTAAATCATCTCAGTTCACCCATCCTCCTCCTCGGTCTTACTACATACTAATGCTTATGCACCATCACAATGAACCAGGCAGCCAGAGATCTTTTTCTCTGCTTCCCATTACAAAAAGTCAAGTATCTAAGTCGGTGAGGTGGAAGAAGAATCATCGTCACTTCCATCTCATGTGAATCATAAGCTATCATCGTCACAAGGAAGAGTT